GGGAACATCTTTAACTGTCAGTATGGGTGTTCTAATCGAAGTGTTAACATGCAAAATTCGGCATTCAGTTTTAGGGCTTACTTTTCAAGAAACAAACACACATGAGAATACATAAATAACAATCTGCGTTTTTGATCATATATTATTTGGACTTTAATAATGTGTGAGCCTGGAGCACAAAATCAGTTTTATATTACACAAGGGTCATATTTATAGATTATTTATTTCATGCCAAAGTTCATTCGAATATAAAGTACAGATCATGTATCGTGAAGTACCGTTTGAAATAATATATTGGATAATAAGTTAAGTTAATTCATAAATAATAATAATTTCGAGAGGATCACATGCTTATGATTAACCACAGCTGGTCCCACATTAGATAACACATGCACTCACCACAAATAACCAGAATTTCTTACCCCAGTTATCTCCGCCTTGAAGAATCCCTCCTCTGACCCTTACTCCTCCCTCTTTTTTTCAGACTTGACAGTCCAGTGATTAGCACTGTTGCCTCACAGCAAGAATGTCACTGGTTTAAAGTACTCACTGGAGCACAATCCACAACCCAAAAACACACAATATAAATAATTTGACCATACTAAATTGGCACAATAGACGAGCCCTTAGTAAGCAGGATAGCACTCTATAGCTATCCTTATAATCTGTCATTAGTCATTAACAAGTCCGGGAAGTTCTTGAGTTCTACCTGAGGTCAAACTCCCCTCTTGCCCTACAAACAGGAGGGAGCCCAGAGCTCAAAGATCTTATAAGGTCAGGGCTTCTCCTGGGATAGCATGCCAAACATGCTTTATAATCAATCATCAGCTAAGTGTGAACTGTTGAAATAATATTTTACAGAGTAAGTCTATAAAATAAAAGAAAATGTACTAGCAATTTCTTACCAGGTCATAATTTACAACATCAAACCAGACAATAAATCATTTCAAACTACTATCAAACTTTTCAGCTTTTAAGCATTAAAAGATGTTAGAGAAGAGCAAAGATCAAAGTCATCTTAATAATAAAGTTAGGCAATAATAATATTAAAAACAAATCACAAAATACTGAAAATTGTTATTTTATAGATAATTTTTACAGTGTGCCTTAAATATATGAGCACTTAATTTGTGATAAGTAATATGCATTCTTGGATGACTTTAAAGAAGATTTTTTCAATATTTAGATTTTTTTTTAAACCCTCAGATTCCAGATATTGTCAGATATTAATATTATTCCTCATTCAAAATTGTTAATCTTAATAAACGACACATCAATGGGGGAAAATATTATTCTGCTTTCAGAGGATGCATAAATCTTAAATTTACACTTATGACTGGTTTGTCACTTATGAGAATATAATAATATTTGTTAACCAAACGTTTTTCTTCTTCATAAAAATAATTCATTCATTCATTTTCTTTTCCGCTTGGTCCCTTTATTAATCAGGGGTCGCCACAGCAGAATGAACCACCAACTCATCTGGCATAGGTTTTACGCGGCAGCAGCACAACACTGAGAAACACATTCACACACATAAACTACAGCCAATTTAGTTTATTCACCTAGCTCTAGCTCATGTTTTTGGACTGTGGTATGAAACCACAGATCCTTTCGAATGTTCCAACATTTAAACTTGTAATGATTAAAAAAATCATTAAAGTCATCTCTCTTAGGTGTAATTTGCTTTTAAATTTCAGTTTTAGCGATCTTCATGTTGACAATTGCGCTCCCTTCTTAGTGCACTTTGAAAACATTTATGCCATTTTGAACACAGCTATGGCTCCTGGCGAAAGCTATAGGTGACCCAATATTTGACCCATTATCTAAAAAGCGGAATTTACATTACGTCTCCAAAGCTTGTGAAAACAACAATATATAGCATACGTTAATGCTTTTAATTTATAGTAGGTTATTTATATATTTATATAAGAAATGTATCTGTGCTGTAGGCATATATGACATGTGTTGGTTAGAACATTTCTGCTGTGATTTGAATGTGTCCAATTGTAATAAATAAATAAACAATATCCTACCTAATAATAATAATAATAATAATAATATAATAATAATAAAGTAATAATACTAATTATGGTGGCGCAGTAGGTAGTGCTGTCGCCTCACAACAAGAAGGTCACTGGTTCGAGCCTTGGCTGGGTCAGTTGGCGTTTCTGTGTGGAGTTTGCATGTTCTCCCTGCATCCGCGTGGGTTTCCAGTTTCCCCCATAGACCAAAGACATGCAGTATAGGTGAATTGGGTAGGCTAAATTGTCTATAGTGTATGTGTGTGAATGATTGTGTGTGGATGTTTCCCAGAGATGGGTTGCGGCTGGAAGGGCATTTGCTGCGTAAAACGTGCTGGATAAGTTGGCGGTTCATTCCTCTGTGGCGACCCGGGATTATTAAAGGTACTAAGCCGAAAAGAAAATGAACAAATAATAATAATAATTATTGTTATTATTATTATGACGTAGGATTTATTTTCTTTTCCTAATAAATAGTCTACTGTAAATGACAAACATTGGCCTAATGATTTATATGATATGAGATTAGAATACGTGTTACTAAGTGGTTTTTATGCTTTAGAATATAATATTGCATATTCTCCATAATATTTGTAAAGGCGTGTGCATGTAAAACAATATAAATTGTACAAAAAAGGGATGGGGTTTTTCAAGAAGTAGTTACTCCACCCTGCTTAGAGCGTTATTATCAACGTTTTACGCTATAACTAACATGGTTCAAACTATGTATCTGCGACAAAGCAGCTGCGGTTTTGGGAAACACCCATCACTACATCGTTCTTTTCCTAAACAATGCATCGAACTATGATAGTTCAGCTGCGAATTATGTCGTTGTTTGGGAAACTCACCCCAGGTAGATCCAATCCACTTCTCCCCATTACAAGCAGTTTTAAAAAGCTATTCAAACTGTATTCACTGCTCAAATATTTGCAGTCAATTAAAACTATGGTTAATAATGACTCTATGAGGTTGTCATTAAATTCATTTAGTAATTTAGCACCCATGGAGAGAGGTATAATGTTGGCTTTCTTGGGCTAATTGAAAACCATTATGGGTTGCACTGTTTTGTATAATTTGTGGAGGTTTAACAGTGCATCATGGGAGTCCAGCCAGGAAAGCATTGCAGTAGAAATGACAAGTGCTTGCAGCATGCTCTGGTGTGGAAAGATCTGATCTTTCCAATGTAGTTGAGATCAAACCAGTGTACCCAGTCTAGCTGAATGTGTACATTTGCAAATCTGCCACCTCTTCAACTTTTCCATCAGAGTGAGTAAAAAAAAAAGGGAACTTCTTCTGGAAACATGCTGTTGCCATGGAAACCATGAGCTCCCCCGAGTGTTTTTCGTCCCATTGGCTGCTGCCGGGCGACGGTGGACTTGGGCGTTTGAGAAGGGGAAACCCGACAATGGCTGTGGTGCTTCCTTAATCAAAGGAAGAGTGCAAATCAGGGCTGCTGGGAGCCTGTTGCTTTTGGCTCGCTCGTATGGCTGTGACCAATGGGCTTGCTATGCACATTAGGCATGAATAAGCCTATAGAGTTTGATTGGATTCGACTGATTTGGGGAAGAGTGCACCGGCTTAAGGAGTGCTAATGATAGACCTCTATTGAGGGAATGAATCATTGCGATTGGCCGATTGAGGTTTGGAGTATTTCGAGGGCCGTTTGGGATGCTTGATTGATGGAATACTGATGCGAGCTTATTCAGTGATTTGACACAGCACCGCCTGGAAAACGGCCATGCTGCTTGAGAAGGACTGGCTGTGCTTGTGTAATTTTGATGTACTGCACATGCCAAACACAATCTTGAACGCTTGAACAACCATACAAAATGATAACACTGTTAGTTATGTTCTTAAAAGACAATTATTACACTAAATAAGAAAAAAAAAATCTGTTACAAGAAATAATAAATAAGGATGATGATACTAATAAAATAGGACCCTGAACCATAAAAACAGTCTGAAGTTATGCAGTATATAGGATATATTTGTGGCAATAGCCCAGAATACGTTCACTGTAAAAAAAGAAAAAAAAATGAAGTCAGTCCATAATCAAAACATAATCTTTATTTCCTTTGCTTTTTCTTGTTCACTTAACTTTTGAAAACATCAGCTAAGCCGAACAAGGTTATTAGTTTTGTGGAAAGGTGAACCGCTCTGTAATAAAAAGTTTTAAGTTGTGCCAATGGAAAATTTTGTGTTTGCAGAACTGGAATGCCTGACATTGAGTGAACAAAAAAACTCGACTTTTTTTTTTTAAATAATTTTTTCACCTTTAATTGATAAGACAGTAGAGAGAATAGACTGGAAAGCATGGGGAGAGGAGAGAGGGGAAGGATTGGCATAGGATCTCGAGACGAGGATCAAATTTGGGTCGCCGTGAACAAAGAAGTGCCATGTGTCAACACACTAACCACAACACCACTGGCACAGACATGTACTCAACTTTTGAAAACATCAGTTGCACTGACCTAAAATGTCTGAAGTTGAGTGAAAAAAAAACTCTTGTGAAAATTGCTACTAATTAATAATACATTATCAAAACAAACAAACAATCATAGTGCAATTGAAAAACAAAACTAAAACAGAGACAAATGTTAACAATTTTTTAGACACAGAATTTATTAAACACAGGACAGGAGGTAAAACAATAACGATAAACATGGCAGGACCCAAGTGTCACCCAGTTCAATGATTATACTTCCCAGTGTTTTCAAATGGAATTGAAAAACATTGCATCATCATCATCATCATCATCATCATCACTATGAGATTGCACCCCAGTTGTCATGTTGTTTTAGCATAGTAGCATTTAATGTAGTTTTTTGAGGGTAATCTCATCCTATTCATGATCTATTCATCTGTGTACTTTTGCTTGGTGAAACTGCGACTCATATGTTAACCTGGTGCTGGCAATCTCCCCAGAACTAGTTTTATTAAATATACAGTATGGTTCCTTCCTTCTCTGTCTCTTAGAAAACTCTTTGTTGCGGTATGTAAGTGATGAAAAGGCTGCTGATCTGGCAGGACGGAGCATGAAGAGAGACACTGGAAAGCGTGGAAAGAAGAAGAGCGAGAAAAGCGGGAGCCCCACACACTACTCCCTCCTTCCCACCCTGCAAATGGAGGTGCTACGTCAGGAGTCCATGAACACGCCAAACCCAGACTCCACCTCTCTCTACCATGTGAGTAGCATGTTTTCTGTCAAAATCCTGTGAAAGGAGTTGCTTTTTTTGGCCATCTTGGCTTTATATGTTGTAGTGGTGCTAGAATATTCTGTTAATTGTACTGATAAACGGCAAAAAAGTATTTTTTTCAATGTATTTTTAAAAATATCTCAAAAATAACCTTTATTAAAAGTTTTTTTTGCTTCTATTCATGCATGGAGGCAAAAACAGACCAAAAGTGCCAGTAAAGGCATGCTACATTGAGCATGCTATATTCTGTCTGAAATGATTATATCCACAAAAGTTTTAATAAACACTTTTTGTTTAATAATGTATTTTTTTTATTTAATGGTTTTTAAGCAATAAATCAGGACACAGTTAAAAACATCCATTGGTAATAATTCCCATATTTTGTTCTGTTTATTTATATGACTATACTGTAGCTCCATACTGTATCTGCTCCATCAGCTTTTGTTTGATGTTGAGAAATTGAACAAAGTGATTTTCCTTGATGTTTTTAGTGATTTAAAGTGATACATTGTCTGGTCATGTGAATGACAGTACAAAAGCCATGGTTGTTTCACCAAATGGTGGTTTCTGAACTCTTCCTAAGTTCAAATTTTAGTATTATGCTTGGAAATTCTTTCGTTTGTTTGCAAGTAAATGACAATATTTAAATTCAAAATTGTCAGTAGTTTTTTAGATTCAAAAATGTTTTCTGAAACTCATTCATTCATTCATTTTTGGCTCAGTCCCTTTATTAATCTGGGGTCACCACAGCGTAATGAACTGCTAACCTATCCAGCACATGTTTTACGCAGCAAATGCCTTTCCAGCCCAACACTGGGACATTTTCTGAAATTAATAAAGCATAATAAATAAATAAAGCATAAATAATAATAATAATAATAAGCATCATCATCATAATTATAATAATAAAGATAAATAAATACATCCATATAAGCTGTCAATTTTATCGTGGTCTATACATGTATTTTTTTTTTTTAGGTTGCAGGTCTGTAGGCAGGGCTAGTTTGGGTAGTTCGAAAGATCTACCCCCACCCCACTGGCAAAGGTCCAGAATTTGCCATTGGTCCAGAATTTGAGCCACTATTTGGCATCTGTCCTATTTTGACTTCTTTGCCATCATAAGTTTTGCAAATAACCAGGGGTCCGTTCTTCATACGTGGATTACTCAATTAGCTGGATTTGGATATTGACGATTTGACACGATCCAGGATCGTTTCGTTCTTCAAAGCTGATCCGAGAGTTGTTGTCATAGCAACAGTTCTGCTAGGTCAAACCTGATCGGGAGCAGGTTCAATTATTATAAACAGGATTAGATCGGCTCAGTTCAAGCAAAGATAATACAGAAAGTATGTTCTGAATTCTGATATTTTCTTACAGTAGTGGTTATACACTTGGGAAAATGGTACATATTTTTAAACTATATATATAAAGTTATAGTCATTAATAAAATAAGTAAAGTTATACATATTAATAAAACTTATGCAATCTGTACCATCGAAATGAAAGTACAAAGACCTGGTGGTGCAAAGAGAAAACTTTTTAGATCGCTTTAGTACAAATTGTGTATGATAGAAATGCAGAATATGTGACTTTTTTTAAAGCAATAATACATTAACGCAGTCATAAACATGTTTTGATAGTTAATAGTGATTTGAAGCTTCACAAAAGTTGCAGACACCTTTACCAATATCAAAATGCTTTTGTAAACAACCAGTTATTCTTTACCCCGATTAAAAAACGGCTACTATAATATAGACAATATTTTCTAAATTTAGAACTATATACACTGATATGCACTGAAATACATGATGAATACTCTTGACACAAGAGAGTGTAAAGCCTGCAGCTCACAACAAATGTGGAAGGTTATTGCGTGTCAAATTTAACAAACCGTTTCTGCTAATTTGATGTAATTTTGCTCACATGTATAATTGAATATTAATCAGATGATGTCATTACGCTGCTGTGCCGTCAGGCAATCGCTGCATAGCTGATCATGATTTCGAGGATCGATAGATCTGTCCTTCACAACACACGCAGCGATCTCAGATCAGTTTATCCAAACATTCTAATCTGATTCGCAAACTTGTTTGAAGAACCAAATTAGCGAGAGATCAGTTATCAAGATTAAAAGATCCAGGATCTCTCAAATCATCTTAGATCATTTAAGCGAGGTACGAAGAACGGACCCCAGGTTTTATTTTATTATAATGTTTACATTGTTTTTTTATTTAAATGGCCAAATTCTGACTGAGGAAAGCTGAATGTGCTGGCCAGTTTGTTATTGTTCTAATAAATGATAAAAGGCTATATTTTTTCTAATAATATACAGTACATCCGGAAAGTATTCATAGTGTTTTACAGCCTTATTCCAAAATGGATTAAATTCATTTATTTTCTCAATTCTACACAATACCCCATAATGACAATGTGGAAAAAGATTTTTTAAAATTGTTGCAAATTTTAAAAAATAAATAAACCTGAAAAATCACAAGTACATCAGCATTCACAGCCTATAAATTGAGCGTAGGTACATTCTTTTTCTAGGTACATTCTGTTTCCACTGATCATTCTTGAGATCTTTCAGCAGCTTAATTGGAGTTCACCTGTGGTAAATTCAGTAATTGGACATGATTTGAAAAGGCATTTACGTTTGGTGTTACGTTTGGAGAAAGTCAGACACCGCTCATCGCCAGGCTAATACCATCCTTAGTGGTGGCAGCATCATGCTGTGGGGATGTTTTTTCAGCAGCAGGAACTGGAAGACTTGTCAGGATAGAGGGGAAGATGAATGCAGCAATGTACAGAGACATCCTGAATGAAAACCTGCTTCAGAGTGCTCTTGATCTCAGACTCAGGCGATGGTTCATCTTTTTGCTGTCAAAGGTGTATCAACAAAGTATTGAGCAAAGGCTGTGAATACTTGTGATTTTGATGTGATTTTTCAGGTTTTTTATTTAAAAAAAAATTTGCAACAATTTCAAAAAATAATTTCTTACATTGTCATTATGGTGTATTTTGTGTAGAAATTTGAGGAAATAAATTGATTTAATCCATTTAGGAATATGGCTGTAACCTAAATCATGTGGAAAAAGTGAAGCGCTATGAATACTCCCCTGATGCACAGATAGAAAAATATTTTATATATAGAAACATAGTTTTTTTCATATTTTTTATAAATATATATTCTATATTTTTATATAATATAGAAAATATTTTTAGTACTTCAAAAATTTACCATCTGGAAAGCTAATCTAGCTAAAAAATAGTGCTTAAAATGTCACTTAATGGAGTATTTAAATCTCATAATTAAATAGAAAATGAGGTGAATAACTGCAAAACAAAAAGTCTGCTTTTTGAGAAAAAAGAACCACCCCTTTCACCAGGCTGGCTACCGCTTGGATTGTCACATAAAATACTGATTTTTTTTATTACAACAACAACACACACAAAAATCCAAATCACATTGCTAAACTGTGGAGTTAGAGTTGAAGTCAGAATTATTAGCCCCCTTTGAATTTTTTTCTTTTTCATCATTTTCTTTTCGGCGTAGTCCCTTTATTAATCAGGGGTTGCCACAGCGGGTTGAACAGCCAACTTATCCAGCACATTTTTACTCAGCGGATGCCCTTCAAGCTGCAACCCATCTTTGGGAAACATCCATACAAACTCATTCACACTGATACACTACAGACTATTTAACCTACCCAATTCACCTGTACCACATGTTTTTGGACTGTGGGGGAAACCGGAGCACCCGGAGGAAACCCAAGCAACGCAGGGAGAACATGCAAACTCCACACAGAAATGCCAACTGACCCAGCCAAGGCTCGAACCAGCGACCTTCTTGTTGTGAGGCGACAGCACTACCTACTGCGCCACTGCATCACCTTTCTTTTTTTTTTATATTTCCCAAATGATGTTTAACAGAGCAAGGACCTTTTTACAGTATGCCTGGTAATACTTTTATGTTTGGAGAAAGTCTTATTTGTTTTATGTCGGCTAGAATAAAAGCAGTTTACATTTTTTTAAGAACCATTTTAAGGTAAAAATTATTAGCCTCATTAAGCTATATTTATTTTCGATAGTCTGCAGAACAAACCATCGATAAACAATGACTTGCCTATTCACCCTAACTTGCCCAGTTAACCTAATTACCCTAGTTAAGCCTTTAAATGTCACTTAAACCTGTATAGAAGTGAAAAATATCTAGTCAAATATTATTTACTGTCATCATGTCAAAGATAAAAAAAAAATCAGTTATTAGAAATGAGGTATTATAACTATTATATTTAGAAATGTGTTAAATATTATCTCCTCGTTAAACAGAAATTGGGGGAAAAAAATGGGGGGCTAATAATTCAGGGGGCGCTGATAATTCTGACTTCAACTGTAAATGACCTACATCAAAAGCTGACAAAGAAACAACATCATTTGCAACTGCATTAAAATAGTTGTTGATGTGACACTAGTGTAATGATGCTGAAAATGCCATCAAAGGAATAAATAATATTTTATAGTGTGTTCAAATTTAAGAGTTATTTTAGTTAATTAGTTTTTGTTTTTGTGCTGTCATTTAATCATCAGTTTGGCAAGCACTAGAGACATCCTTCAAAAAGTATTTAAAAAAATTCTAAAGTGCCATCCCCAATTTTAAATGGTAAAAGTACAGTATATTAGCTTTGGTAGTACCTGCACCTTGTATCTGATGTCTTGGTGAGCTTCTTTCTCTCTAAAAGTGTCTTTCCTCCTCTTTTAAATGTCAGGCAGTCTAGATCAGGCTAAACTCTGAGTTTGTGAGGAAAATTGCACCACGTCTGTATACTTCTTTTATTTTCTGTTTCTCAAACAAAGAGTTCTTCTTCAAGGTCTGGCTGCTTCACTGGCTTTTTGCTGGATCAAGGTCTCTGTGATCACTGCAGGTAGAGTCTTGCATAAAGAGTTTTCATTGAATGCACCAGGTCATGGTGCGCAGAAGAAGAATGTAT